TTCTAAAGTCAAATAATTTTAGTGAAGTTGGTTCTCTTTTTTTACTGATTTGCTGGATTGTGATAAAGTGTATCTCTAAGAAATAATAAATGAAAAAGTTGTTGATGGGGAGTGAGGCACAAGAAAGCTAATGATGTGTTTTTCTATATTTACGGTAATCTTTTTCCTTTATCCATTAAGTTATGTATGTTCTACATAAATTATAGTTATTTTTRATTGTTTTTTTTCCTGCTTCTTCTTCTTCCGGATATAAGAACAAGTATTTTTGGCAACTGGATACAGCTCATTTTGGAAACAGTAATGATGCTTCAGAAAATTGCAAGTTTTATTGGTCTTTTCACTAATTTAAGATGCTTTTACTAAATTTAATGCAAACTTTGTTCTTTTTTTTTAACTTTACGTCAACGTGACACTGGATCGTGTGCCTGACAGACACAACTCTGGGAAAACTCTTCCATAGTTTCTTCAGGAGAAACCAAAGCCCCGCCCACAGGGAACCGGCTACAGAGTTCTTTATTTTGATTGGCCAGAAGGATTTGCACCCTCAATCGCTATTGGTTCGAGTATCTGCCTTTCCCACTGCYGTCACGGTGCAGTCACAGCAATGATGGCGGCCTTCGGTGTAGCTCGTAGCACTTGTGGACTGATAAATGGGTTGAGGGTCTCCTTCAGAAGTTTAGCGCAAGTAAAACTTGGCGCTACACCGGCTTCCCCGCTTCAGACGAGTCTCCAGCGGGACTGTCGGTGGTACTCGGTCAGCCACCTGTCCGTGAAGGAGAGGATTGAGAAGAAACGGAAGGCGGCGTTGGTCGGCGGAGGTCAGAAGAGAATAGATGCACAGCATAAAAAGGTAAAGAGGCACTGGCCCAAACGTGACAYCTAATTTAACTTTCTATTTTGCAATGCTTTAACGTTTTAAAATGGACTTACAAATGATTTGTACTGCTTTAAATGCATTCAAGGGATTTAAACCCCAGAAAGTTAATGTATTAATCTCAATTAAAGGTACAGRACAGTTAAAATATTAAGTATTCTCACAGACTGTTTTATGTTTAAAAAAGAGTTATTAGTATTATTCCTTTGTTTTAAACACGGTGAACTCGCATCAAAGCATAATGATAATGCAAAGAAATTAGGAAAAGAGAAATGCCTAGTGTTTTATAGTAATAATCATGATAAATAATAGGGCTGTGTATTGGCAAGAATTTGGCGATACGATACATATCATAACAGABGGGTCACGATACGATATATCCCGATATATTGCGATACTATAAGCAAGGCGATATATTGAGATATATTGCGATTTTTTTTGTCCAAAAATTCTATTAAATAAAAACCTCTTACTGGAAAAAAAAAGAGAAAAGCTAATGGCTGTGTACAAAACGACAGGCCGGGTCCTCCTGAGGACCCAGACTACCCTGTTGAGTCGGGCCGGGTCCTTGGTAGACCGGGAAGACCAGAAAAAAAGAGGCTGTGAATTTGGACGGTCTAGCCTCCCCTCCTTACCCCGG